TATAATTCTTTTCTTCATTCACTGTTTCCAGGCATTATGGCCTTGTTGATGTTTCTGGAACACAATAAGTTCATTTCAAACTTAAGGCTGTAGGCTTCTTGATTGTTTGCCTTACCTTCCCATGACTCCAATTATTCAACATTCAACTTTGGTTCAAATGCCACCTCCCACAAGAAGTCTTCCCAAATCACTCAATCTAACTTCCTCTCAGGCCTATTAAATCACTCTCTCATCACTCTGTTTCTCTACTTCCTTTTATTTATGATAAGAAACCTTGTTATTTTTTTTACTTGTTTGTCTTCTTACATTGGACTGTAAATTCCATAAGAACAAGGACCTTTTCTGTCTTGTTTTCTCCTGGCAACTTGAATTCTGTCTAGTCTATAGTTGGCCATATAAACAGTTGTGAAATAAAGGAATAAACTCATTTTATAACTTCAAAAGCATTTCAATGGGGAGTAATAGCATAGCATTATTCTATATATCTAGATGAATTAGGGTCAAGGACAATTCTATAATAAGAAAATTGCCTGATGTAGACAATATTAGCACACATTTTGGGGGGGGCCACAGCTGTAAGTAAGTTTAGTCAATGTGCTTTACATCAAAGACCATTTGAAAATGGTGTATATTGAATAACCATTTTTGAATTAGCGAGAACTTGGCCTGCAGTTCCAAGGTTGGCCGGTGATTCTTGCTGCTGGACAATTGTGAAAATTAGGCTGAGCTGGAATAATACATAAGGCAGGTTATTAAAATAATTAGGATTTCATAAGACACTCCTGCTAAGAACCTTCTTTGCATGTTTGCCCGCAGATCAATAATGTGCCTGATTAAAACCTAATAGATACGGAAAGTTATGATCTCACGTCTTGGCTTTGATTGGGTTGGTCAGCAGCTCTAACTCAGGGTGTGGCTGAGGACTTACTCCTTCAAATGGACCAGTTCTGAGTTAAGAATACATAAGCCCAGGCTGCTGTCAGACCCTCAGATCTGAATGTATCAGTTAAACTTTAAGAGACCAGTTGTAGAGAAAATGGGGATAATCCTTCAATATGAGTTAAAATTTATACTGTTTGTTATTATGAGTAGAGATTGAAAGACAGTTGCATGGAACAGTAAAAACAAACAAACAAAACCCAATAATATGACTTCTTTGACTTCTATTTGCAAATGACAGCGAAGACAGTCTGATTTGTGAAAGTTTGGTGGGGTGCATCTGCACAAATGTTTTGGCCTTGTGCTTTGGTTATTACAATGTCGATAATTAAAATGATTTTTAGTCCATTTGCATTTTCTATTTCTTCTGCCAATTAAAAAAAATCATTTTTGCTAGAAATTTATTTTATTTTTTTAATGTTCACCCAAAGATATGTTTATTGATTTTAGAGAGAGAGGAAGTGGGGAGAGAGAAAGAGAGAAACATGGTTGTGTGAAAGAAACATCAATTGGTTGCCTCCTGTATGCACCCCAATTGGGGATCAAACCCACAACCTAGGTTTATGCCCTGACTGGGAATCGAACCTGAAACCTTTTGGTGTATGGGACGATGCTCCAACCAACTGAGCCACCTGGCCAGGGCTAGAAATTTAATTTTTTTTATCTAGGTTTTCAAGGTTGTGGTGATTTAGTTGTGATATATATGTATGTACATTTATATACACACATATATGTAAAATACTCTCTATATAGGAGTGGGTAAAGCAAATTTACAGATGTTCATATGGAAAAACAATACCAGAATAAACTGTGTTTTGCCCACACCCTGTATGTGTGTTTATATATCATGTATGTACTATATATTACATGCAATAACTAATGTATGCAACTTTGAGTGTTTGTTATATTTTTAGTCTTTTCTCTTTTGAGTCACCTTTTGCATCATCGAATAGTCTATCAGACCCATCACTCTTCTAGCATCTTCCTGGCTGGCCTGAATGTGCAAGAAAATTGACAGCCTGTGCTCAGTGGAGCATCTCCTCCAGAGATATTTTTGTTTGCTTTTTAAAGAATTTTTCAAATTGTTCTATATTTATTGGCCATTGAATATACTGAAAATACCAAGAGAGGTATCTTGGATGAAGCAGCGGCTGCTGAGTGCTGGATGCAGGGCTTGCTGTCATGTAGATAGCTCTTTCCATTTTCCTGTTTGAATGTGAGTTTAATTAAAAAAACAACACCAAGCCCCACACATTTCTACATTTTACCATGAAAGTATTTACAAATGGATCAAATGGTTTCATATTTAAAGCAAAATACAGTAGAACATTAAGTACTCCATTTCCATGCTTTCATCCAAATATTTTAAAAATTGGATTTACCTCAGTTTATCAGGTAATTGCTGCTCAAGTATATTATTGGAACACATACTAGTTTGTTTTTTAATGTTATTCTGAAACTGACCTGAATTACTCCATGAAACACTTGAAGTTGTGGAATTCTGCTAATTTATTAATCTGATTCAAATGATGCCTTTTAATATGCTGGTCTTGAGGGTCTGCTTATATTTAAGATGTTATTTAATTTGGAATTTAATATCTGTTAATACTTAAAATATAAAGCATTTCTTTAAATATATGTTTTTATGTATTTCAGAGAGAGAAAAGGAGAGGGAGAGAGAGATAGAAACATCAATGATGAGTATCATTGATCAGTTGCCTTCTGCACGCCCCCTACTGGGGATCGAGCCTGAAACCTGGGCATGTGTCCTGATGGGGAAGCAAATCATGATCTCCTGGTTCATGGGTCGACATTCAGTAACTGAGCCACAATGGCCAGGCTAAAGATATTTTTAAGATAAAAACAAACCATTCATTTGGAATTCTCAGTGAAAGAGAACTCTATCTTAATGCAAAAAAACCTGTCTATTTTTTTCTCTTGATTTTTTTCCAGTATATTCAATGGCTAGAGAAAATAAAACAATTTGTAAAGATTTTTAAAAAGCAAAAAATTTCTAGTTTTAAATTTTCAAGGTCTGTAAACTTTAGGATTGCCTGGAAGGTTCATTTTGCTTTCATGTTGATTATGATGAAATAGATGATATTTCTGAAATTCTTTGTTTTATTTACTTCACTCCCAACATTTCTCCAGATAATAATTTAGAATTAATATGAAACATTTCATAACATTATTTAAAAAGAATAATAAGACTTAAAATTCACACAGTGATTACCATATTTCAGGAACCATGCTAAACACTGGTACATATTCACTCTTTTAATACTCATGACAATCCCATGAGGTAGCTATTATTATCTTCATTCCCACTTCATAGATAAGAAAATTGATTGAGTTATGCACACAAAGAAATTCAGTTACTTATCCAGGGTTATAGCTGTTGACTGGCAGAGTTGCGGTTCAGACCTAGGCTCTGTAGGTCTGAGTTCACATATTTAATTATAATTCTACTTTACTATTATGGTTGAGTGTAATATGGTTTGTTGTTTGTTTGTTTTTAAACCTCACCCAAGCGTATGATTTTTGAATTGATTTTTGAGAGACATCCATGTGAGAGAGAAACATCAATCAGTTGCCTCCCATATGTGCCCCACCTGGGGATCAAACCAAACCCTTTTGGTGTATGGGAAATGCTCCAAATAATTGAGCCACCCGGCCAGGGCTATTTTGTGCCTTTATAGAGCTGGAGATTGAAACTCATTCTACACAATACTAAAACAACTGGTAAATTAACATTTTTGAATTTCTAAAAATCCTAGAAATGTGGGGTTTCCTAGGCAGTTCCCTCACCAGCTCACCCATTTTGGTCTGAATCTCAAATAGTGATTCAAATAGTAAATATCACAAACTTGGCAGTGAAAATACACAGTACAACACTTTAAAATAAAATAATGCTGGCCCATCAGCAATTAGACCCGTTATTGCTTAGTATTGTCTTGACTTGACCACAAAGAATTTCATAAACTCTGAAAAATACGGAAAATGAAAATGTTTCCCTTTGCCAGCAGATGTCACTGTTGCCTCTTAGCACTGACCATAGTGTCTACAGGAGATGAAGATGATGGAGAGCAAGCGAAGTATTTGACTAAAGTCTCTGTAAGTCAGTGGGTACAAACACTATTGCTTTGGTATGAAGAAAGATAATTATGCAAAACAGGGAGAGTATCTGTCACCCCACTTCGACTAGCACAGAGAACAGTGGAATTCAGACAACCTGGTGCCCCTCTGGTAGCTCGGAGGCAGCAGCCCCTGGAGGGAGGCTGAGGACTGTGGTGAAAGGAGCTTCTCCGTGGTTGGCACAGAGCTGTTCCCATTCCTGTAAGCCAACAGGACTCAAGAAGAGCACAGATGCTAGAGAACAAAGCCAGAGCAACCGGGCAGTGGTGAACAAAGCCAGAGCAACAGGGCAGTGGTTTCAGAGCACAGGCAAGGCCCTCTCTCATAACACCCAGAAACAATCCGAAGAGACTTTGCAGAGGGTTTGTATTGGCAGGTGGGATGGAAAGCCGTGGAAACCAGGCTCACACAAAGGCACCCTGAGCACTTCTGCTGGCTCGGAGAATGCAGAAGTAACCAGACAGGGCTCGCCCTGAAGGCAGCAGGCAGAAGGAATGCATAAACAAATCCGGCAAGCCAAGAAAAAATTGGCCATGACCTTTGTACTATTTTCTCCCCAAATGATACCCTACTACTCTGAAAAATTGCCCTGATTTTTGCCTTCAGTAACATTAGGATAAAATCATTAATTTTTTGAATGATTCCATAATCAAGTAATAGGATAACTATTAAATCATAATTGTCAATAGATAGTACCATTTTTAAAAACCAAAATATCTCCCGTTATTTTGGGTTTTAAAACTGTCTGCTCCTCGAAAATGTTTACTTACTTTCTAGTAAATTCTATTGTCTAGGGTAGTCAGGAAATATGTTCTACTTAAATTTTAAAGTTGTTTGAGGGTTCATTATAGGAAACTTTTCTAAGATTAGTCAGTATGCTTTTCTAATTTGGTCCTGTAATTTCAGAAGCTCATTTGACACAAATAATGTGCTGTCAGTGTTTGCTTCAGGATGTGTGTGTGCTATGTTTTGATGAAATTGGTTGGTAATAGGAAGAGAGCTGGAGGGTGACCTTCAGTGCTATGAAGGGAGCACAGTTGTCCCTTTTGACTTAAATTGATATTCAAACTGATATTTCCCGAGAAACACTAATGCCTAGGTCACGAATAGTTTCAAACTAAATGGTGATGCCTATTTTGTGAAATAATTATCTAGAAAAATAAAAAAAAAATTACTGTTACTGCCCTGCCTTGGTTTTTAGGCCGGATCTTTCTCCTGAGCATCCAACCCATACGTTCCAACAGCCTAAGGAATGTTAGCATTAGGATGTCTCCAGGCATCCTGCACTCATGGGTTTACCAGATGTATCAAGTAAAAATACAGGATGGCAGTTAAAATTGAATTTCAGATAAACTAAGATTAACTATTCCTTTTTTGTATGTTGGATTCAATTTTCTAATATTCTTTGAAGATTTTAACTTGTATGTTCTTGAGGGATATTGGACTGTAATTTTTCTTTTCCTGTAAAGATTTTTTTTTTTTTTACTTTAGGTTTTGATATCTGGGGGATAGCAGCCTCATAAAATGAGTTAGGAAGTGCTCCTTCCTCTTCCATTTTCTGAAAGAGTTTGTGTAAGGTTGGCATAATTTCATGTTATATGTTTAATAGAAATGTTTCATATAACTCAGTGTAATTATCTGGACTTGAAGTTTTTCTTCGTGGAAAAGTTTTTGATGCAAATTTAATCTTTTTTTTTTTTGCAAATTCATTCTTCTTAATAACATTTTCTATATCTTTTGTATCATTTGGGGGTTTTATTTTTTCCTCTGAGTTTCTAAATTTATTGGCATAAAGTTATTCAGACTACTCCTTTTCTATCTTTTTATTTATTTCTAAATAAATATTTACATTTAATTAATGTAAAATCTGTAGAGATATGGTCTTTCACTCTTGCTTTTGTAATTTTTGTTTTCTTTTTTCCTTGATTAGTACTATTCCTTGATTTTATTGATCTTTTAAAAACCATATTCTGCTCTTAATTTTCTCTATGTAATGATTTCTGCTCCTATCTTGACTATTTCATTTTTAATACTTGAAGTTTAAGATGCTCTTTTATTTCTAGCTTTATAAGGTACATTTAAATCATTGACTTTAAATTTATACCCTTTTTGAATATCAGCATTTCTCACTTATCAGTACTTTAGCTGCATCCTTCAACTTTTGATATACTGTATTTTTATTATTAATTTAGTTTGAAATATGTTTCAATTTTCCTTGGAATTTCTTCTTTAGCCAATGAATTCCAAATATTTGGTGCTTTTTTACATATGTTACTGTCATTTTTTTTTAATTTAACTGTATCGTGGTCAGAGAACATTCTCAGTAATGTTTTGAAATTTATTTAATGGACCAACATATAGTCTATTTTGGTGAACATTTTATATTCTTTTGAAAAATTTGAACATCCGTCCATAGGATTTTTGGGGTCTGGCTCTTCCATTTTCAGAGACAGGGGTGTTGAGTCTTGAATTTTTATTATACGTTCTCTATTCTGCTTTTAGTTCTGTCAATTTTTGCTTTGTGTATTCTGAAGCTCTCTTATTAAAGCATATACATTCATGACTGTTGTGCCCTCCTGATGAAATGACTCCTTTATTATCATGACATGTCCCAGCAGACCTCAGGCATTACTCTATGTCTCGAAGTCTGCTTTGTCTGGCATTAGCATAGTCACACCAGCTTTCTTATTCCTAGAATTTGCAAGGTATAACTTAGTCTGTGCTTGTTCTTTGGCCCTGTCTGTATCCACTCCAGTTATATATTTGAGGGCTCAGTTAATTACCACAGTGTGATCCATAGACACACTGAGAATTGGCCCTGGGCTAAGTTCCACTTATTAAGCCATCCCATATGCGCTCACTCCACAGGGGCCATGATGGTGCCTCCAGTCTGTATCTCACCCTGTCCTTTCCCAGAGGAGACTGTTGACATCAGAAGGGTCTGATACAGCAGGAAAGGGGAATACCTGCACGTCTCGAGTATGCTGTTCACACTGGACTACACTGGCATGACCTTGCCTGTCTCTCCAACATCATGTGGCCACTCTCCCTTGAGACATCCACCTCCAGCCACACTGGTTCAGACAGAAGGCTTTTGTGCATGGTGCAGTGCCCTGCTGCCTGGCTCTTGTATCTCACTTATTTCATCCTGGGATCTTCACCCTGAGGCACTATTTCACTGGAGTGTTCTGCTCATATGCATACGCGTAAAAATGTATAGCCCTCAGTGTTTCTAATTGAATTGAGCAAAACTTCAGAGCCCAGTTTTCCTTTGTTGTTGTTTTTTAATTTTAAAATTTAATAAATCGACAAGGCTTGCTGTTGTTTTGCTTCCTTGTCAGTTCTGCAAAAATAATTTGAAGCCTCAATCCCACTTGCAGAAGGCTCAATCACAAAACCAGACTTGTCTGCCCCCTAGTGGCAGGCCCTGTGATGACCACAGAAGTCAAATACTTGAAAACAAGCTTTTTGCTGGAGCCGCCACAAATTGGACCCAGCAGATGTGAAGCTCCTGTGGTTTCAAGCCATGACCCTCAATCCATGTCTAATATTCACTCTCCATAAAAGACCTTCACTTTTCTCTTCATCCATGTGTCCTTTATTTGTTTTTACTCAGAATTTATTACCTTCATGGAGGAAAGAAATGGAATATATTTTTAAAAATAACTTTTACAACAGCTTTGCTCATAGAGAATGAATGTAATAGTATGTGTCATAACACAGAGGAAAAACGTAAACACTACATGATTTCTTGTGAAATTTGGAAATATGATTAAAGGATCATATTTATGGTCTCTTTGGACCAGGTACCAATCCACGTTCTAATATACCATATTATTTGATCTAGTGGAGGTTTAAAATGGGAGTCTTAATTAGACAGAGGGTTCCCTGTTCTTTAGATCAGTGTTTCATGGTAGTTTTAATCCTTGGCCCCTTTTGACAAATATGATAATCTCAGCATCTTCGCTCCCTGATAGAGATTCCTAACTGTCACCCAGGAAGAGTTTCCCTTTGAGCTTTATCACCCATAGTTTGTGTGACAGAACCATGATTTCCCTTTTCTTCTTTAAATACAAAATTGTATTAATTATTGCCTTCCCGGTTCCTGACCCTTCCAACTTCCCACACAATCCAAGGCATGTCACTCCGGTTGCTTTAAGATTCCAGTTTCATGAGCTACAGATAGCTCTGCCCTTGCTGATCTCGGAAGGTACCATGAATAATTCTAACCAAAATGACCTGCACATTCTCAGGTATCATGAATGAAATGCATGTCAACATCGCTGATGTTTCTCTCTCGAAGAACTCATGCTACATTCATTTCTATTTAGTACGCCGATCGCCGAGCAGGGTAGACATGTGACTACAGACTTCATGATTTGTCTGCCAGATGGTGCCTGATACCCACGTTGTTTTCACCATTACCCTGGCAATGGTATGAAGCTCAGGGAGGAGAAGGATTGAGACTGAGGGTTCCCTGATTTGCACAGAAGCTGGTAAATGTTCAAGAGTTGTAGTCATGCACATGGCTACCCACCGAGACATTTTATGTAAATCAAAGGTTCAGTTTTTCAGGTGAAAATTAGAAATACTCAAAAATTGATTGGTTAAATATTAAGCTTTCAACAAAGGGAGGTACATTTCTGGGGGAGTTTGGAGGGAGAATTGAAAAAAAAACTTGTGGAGAAGAAGAGAGTTATTTAAGGGATGCCTTTGGATTTTATATTCCAAATTGCAATCTGGTTAAAGTCTGAATCTTGGCCCAATGAAAATTGGAAAAGCCACAGAGAAGTGAGGTCATCAACAATAATTAAGTCTGTTAGTATGTGGTGTGTGTGTGTGGTAGTGCATGCCAGGTGAGAGTTCCAGTAGAAAGTGAGTGATTTGGTTAACAAATTGTAGGTTAAGTCAATGAAAAAGATATATATTTCCAATGGGAGATTTAGCTTTTAATGTCTAATGTTACATTTTAGAGCCACAAGGTGGGGATACAACATAATCTTCCTTTTTCATGCTGCTGACAAGTAGAATACCCAAAAAATAACAGGTTTTAAAGCAAGGCTGTTTTTCTTGGTAGTAACTTGGACCCTATATCTGGTGCAGAAAATGGGTTTGTCAAATAAAGCATTTATTTTTGAAAATCCTTTGCTTTTTAAAAATAATTTGCACAGTCTGGCAACCAAAACTTTCTTCCTAGTTTTACTCCAGGTCAAGGTTGTAGACTCCTGGAGTCACCGTGTTTTGATGTATGGGATTAAAGCTTTTATCCTGTCAGCATTCTCGTATTACCCAACTGAGTCACTGTATTGGTAAAGTCGTCCTCCCTTCTCTCCTTCCCTATTATTGCATGAACTTCTCATCCTTTATATTTGTATTTAATCTAAGGGTTTTGCAGAATTTTTAATTCAAGCACTTCACAATATGATGTAAAATTGTTCAATTTTAGAATATCAATATGTGTGTGTTATGGCTATGAAATATTTACACACAGATAAAACTTCAGATACATATATAGTTATTTCTATTGTATATGTATGAATTTGATACTTAAACAGGGACTCAATTTTCATATAAGGTTAAATAAATGATTCTTACTGATAAATTTATTTATATATAGGTATAAGATAAACTGCATCTTAACATATAAACATATAGTTACATGTAACTATGAGTGTGTGTGTATGCAGACATATGTGGCAATATTTATCCATATGTTTATAGATAAATTTCTAAAGAAAACTTTACATTTATCTATCTATCTGTGTGCTCAGTATCCCCTCCTGAATATCCCATGAGCATCATGTGTAAAATTTAGCTCATCACACCATCACCCCCCCAGCTCTTCCTCTATTCCTTGTCTCAGTGAGTGGTCCTAAAAGCCATCCAGTTGCCCAGGGATCTTGACACCTTTCTATTCTTCACCCTGATCCTAAAATCAATCACTGAGTCTTGTGGATTGTTCTTCAAATATTTCTCAGCCTTCTCTTGTCCTTATAGAAACTTCTATAGAATGTATTTCCTCTGGTCCTCTGGTCTCCTTTAAACCCATCCCCGACAAGGCCATCAGACTCATCTATCTGAAGTGTAGAGCTGGTCATGTCTCTATTCTATTGAACCTTTCAGTGCATCCCCCCATTTTACCCAGAATATAAATTATAAGGCTTTAAACTACAAAGCTGATCAGATATTTTTATTCCTTAGCTTTTGTTTGTTATTGTTTTCCACCAAGAATAATGCCCTCCATGATAAATTTCACCTTAAAATATATTCATTTTTAAAATATATATTAAATGTTAACAAAAATTAAGGGATATATTATAGGTGCATATGTATTTTATATATATACTAGAGGCCCGGAGCACAAAAATTTGTGCACTTGGGGGGAAGGAGGGGGTCCCTCAGCCTGGCCTGTGCCTCTCGCAGTCTGGGACCCCTCAGGAG